TTCTGCGCCCCCTCCCCACAAGCATAGGAATCCTGAGCTACTTCTTTAAAGAGTGTCTCCAGTCTCCTAAATTAGTTGTTGACAGTTCTCAGATTCTAGAGGTGATCATTTAACACCTCATTAGTAGTCTATTACTGGAATTAATCCAAATGGGCCAAACCTAATTATAATTAAACCTTAGTCTACTCAAGTATTCCTTTTTTTTCCTCTACATCAATAACCAAATGAGGACAATTCCTTTCAAAACTAAGTACAAAAAAGCAGTTCCCTATATAGACAGTGATTTCTGTCATCACAAATTTATCTATTAAAATGTACCTAATCTAGTTTATTCTGGTTCATGATTTGGCCATTTTGGTTTAACGTTCAACTTTAAGAACCCCTCATATTTTAATAATTCTGGATTACGTATGCATCCATTCAACATTTAGGAATTAGAGGGGGAAGGAAAGGAGTAAGGGATGCTTAGGAAGTGGATCTTCCCTTGCCTCCTGTAGCTCTCCTGAGAGCTCAACTGCTCACCACAGATTAGCCCATCTTCCCACAAAAAAGGTGAAGATATTTATTAATAATTAGCTGCATACTATTTGTGTGTATACCTTACTTTCAATCTCATTTCAAGCAGGATTTATTTCCATGTAAGTATTTAATATACTCTGCAACCTAATAAGTTTTAATTATAAAAGTAATATATTCACATGGTGAAGTACAGTTTTGTTTTTGTGGCAGTGGAGTTTGACCTAAGGGCTTTGAGCTTGCTAGGCAGGCGTTCTACTACTTAAGCCATGCCTTCAGTCCCTGAACTACAGTTCTAATAATATTAAATAAAGAACAGATACTTATTAAATAGAGAATATTATTAAGTAAGGAATAGGTATTTTCTCCTCTTCCCCCAGCTACCTCCATTTCCATTCCCCAAAAGTAGCAGCAGGTTCTGTATCTGGCTTTTCTGGTAGTTACGGTTACAATGTTGAAAACCTCTGCTTCTTGTTCCAACAATACTAGATGGTTTTTAGGTAAGAATGTCATATTTTTATTACATTCCATGTTTCCTCTATGAACCACCACCAATTCTGTGATATTACAATTTTTAATTTTTCTAGTGGCATCTGGAGGAGTGGCTCAAGTGGAAGAGCGCCTGCCTAGCAAACACGATGTCCTGAGTTCAAACCCCAATACTGTCAAAAAAAAAAAGGAAAAAAATCCACCAAATTTTTCTAGTGGCTAGCTTACCTTCATAAATTTAAAAACTTAAACACCAAAGTTGATTTTAAACTTTAGATAAAATCTATTGTTTCTTGCCAGGTAATCTAGCTACTCAGGAGGCGAAGATCAGGAGGTTAACAGTTTGAAGCCAACCCCAGGCAAATCATTTGAGAGACTCTACCTCAAAAATACCCATCACAAAAAGGGCTGGTGGAGTGGCAATCTAGAGCACTGTAGAAACAATTTGGAAGACTAAAGATGTCCACGAATGTCACTGCAAGGTATATATGCCCTAAAGAATCTCTCATACACATAAAGGAGACATGTAAGAAGATCACTGTTACGGTATTATGTAACATTTAAAAGTAGCTAACAACCTAAACAGTTGTTGTGGTTGTGTTAATACTGTGTGGAAAATTATACAACAGTGAATGAGACTCTCACACTCAATATGGATAACTCAAACAGATGATACAAAGCAAATAAAGCAAGGTGCAGTAAGATTTGCACATAACTAATTTATGTAACATTTAAAAAGAAACAATACTGACAGCCCTCATTGTTGGAATTCAGTTTGTCCCTACGTGTGCGTTAATAAGAGTATAAATTTTCAGAACCTGTATGACATTACTAAAAATAGAAAAAACTATAACGTGTTCCTGGTTCATCCAAAAATTCCAGTCCTGCTGGGGGCATTGCTCAAGTGTTAGAGTGCTCGAGTGTAAAGCCCTGAGTTCAAACCCCAGTACTGACAAAAAGAGTACAGAACAAAAACTTCAAACGCCCCCCGCCACCCCGCAATTGCCTAAAACATTATTTAAATATCTATGTAACAACCCACCATGAGTTTCTGAAAAATATAAAACATCTAAAATACTAACTACCTATTTTAAACCCCCCAAAATCGAGAACACTTGCATGTATTACTCAGTGACAGGGTACAGTATGGAATCCATTATAATTCCCACTTGTGCATTCACAGGTCTCACCAAGCTTTAGCACTGCATTTCCTTCAAATGTAGAGACTTAGTTAGATTCACCACTTTCTTCACAGGGGTTTCCACTCGTTACAGGACATTTTCAGCAATTATGCGGGGAAGATGAGTGAGATATGGCACAACAAATTCAAAGAGCTCAAGCTGACAAAAGACATGGCCCCTTCAGGAAGAGCTGAAATATGTCTCAAGTGTCCTACACAGCCTTTTCCCCAGAGTCATGCATAACTGACATTGGTATGCTTATGAAAGCTTATGACAATGGGATTTTGATTTGGATAATTAAATCTCATAAGCATTTCTGCAAATTATTATAGCAAGTACAGTAAGCCTTCCAACAGTAAGGAATACTTAACACTATGCACTATTTACAGACAGATACATAAGAAAAGCTTAAAAACACAGGGAATAAATGAGTAAGAGAAACAGGATCAGGAAAAGATAATGGAAGAGTCTTCTAGATCTTCATTTCTTTTCAAAAAGTAGGACAAATAGGGTGAAACATTAACATTATAAAATACAGGTACAGGGTACATTAGTTTTCCCACCTTTTCATGAACTCTGAAGCACCAATAAAATTCTTAACCTAATGAAATAGGCACAAGTTTACCAATATTAAAGAACCCACAAAAACTACTCAAGAATTTGAACTTGAAATTACACAGGGTCAGGGAACTAGAATGTGTTTTTTGTTTTTTTTTTAACGTAAACACAACACCCTTAAAAAACTGCCTCCTGTGAGAACTTCTACCCTCCACATAGCCTCTGCCCTCACCTTGTGAAATAATCCTGTGGTTTTTATCTTCTGGTGGTATTAGGGTCTGAACTCAGGCTTTGCTTTTGCTAGACAGGTACTCTACAGCTTGAGTTACATCTGCAACCCTTACCTTCTGTTTTAACAGAGAAATCAAGCAGCCACCAGAAGTTTATCACACTAATTAAAAGTTTTAGGAAATAATTTTTGAAATGCATTATTTAAAAGCTTGTAGAATACTTTAAAAATAGCTACAAATTCTCTCCCACTGGGGAAATGGTATCTTAATTCTCCATCCCTTTCAATCTGGCCTGGCCTTAGAGACTAGCTTGTTAACAACAGAATAGAAAAGGCCATGGAGTTTCAGCTTGGCTCTCTGGAATGCCTGCTCTCTAAAAGTGCCCTTTCTGGATATCCAGCTACCATGTTACATGGAGAGGACACATGAAAGGTGCTCTGGTCAGCAGTCATGGCTGAATCTGGCTTACAAGTCATGCCAGCCAAGATGACATGTAAGTGAAGAAGTCCCAGATAATCCCAGCCCCCAACCATCTGAGTCTTCTCAGAACCTGAGTCTTCCAAGCTAGCCCCAGACACTGTGGAGCAGATAAGCTATCCCTGCCGTGCCTTGACCACAGAACCTGTGAGCATAATGAGATAGTTGTTGTGTCATGCCACTAAGCTTCAGCAGTGACTAGAGAGGCAAAAACTGGAAGCCAGTACTAAACCAAGCCTTTATCTAATTACCATATTTCAATTTCTCACCAGAGAGCTTCAATGGGTACAGATAAGTCATTTATCCAGACATAATGCATCACACAAATCCATGCTCTAGGACAGGGTGAAGAAATTATGCAACATTAACTTCCATAGGTATTGGCCTTTTCCTAGTCACCTAAATCTTTGTTTTGAGCCAAATAAGGTGAAGTACCTGTGAAGTAACTCAGTAAACAACAGTTCAACCATTTTGTGTCTGTTTCTCTCTATATCTATGTACATATGTCTATACATTCACATTTATCTCAGATTGAAGCATACTCTTTCCAATAATACCATATCAAAAAGGAGATAAAGTTGCAGCCATTGTTAACAGAGAGCTACTTGTAAGACTCCAATGCTATATGTGCAACATTAATGATATGAAGAAATAAATTCACAAAACTGACATTGCTCACACTTAGCTATTTCCAAAAATCTCTCCTTAGAGATCACAATGATCTATGCTGGATCAGAAACAATACTAAGATGATTTAAGAAAACCATTTTAATCAAAATCAGGCATACTATTATTTTATTCTTATTTTTCAATGCAAATCAAATCAACTCTACAATAAGTATTACAAACTCTAGAGTAGAGAGCTCAAGGCTGATAATGTAAAATTTTTCCTAAGAGCCAAGCTGACTATAGACGCATTAAAAGAGCAACAAGCAAAATTAAATGCATGTACCTTACTGGAAATGGAAATACTTTTTAAAGAAACAGCAACAAAATTTCAATTGCCCTCCTTCTATTATAATTGGTCTGCAGTCAACACTGCCCTCTGGTGATGCAAAATAAAAGTCAAAGTATGTAGTTTGGATACAAATCCCACCAAAGAAAAACATTTAAGATGACCTTCATTAACTACTTTTTTTTTCCTCAGTCTTTTAAATCAAGGATACTTATTCATACAAATAGCAGTTCTTAAATATGCTATTAATGAAACATCACTACATGGTGAATTACAACTTCATATGAAATTATACAATTCAAGAAAGACCTTGAAGGCCTATTTCCTACAAGAGGGCATGTATGAGAATAAGAGGAGAACCTCACTATCTGTAAATAAGAAAATTCCACAGGAAGGAAGCCAGTGTAGTTCTCAGAGTGTATGTATTTAACACACTGAGAAGTATCCATGGAAACCAGAGCCACACAAGCCTGCAGCCCTGTCCATCAGGAAGCCTGACTCCTTATGTTAGGAAAAAAAGCTCAACAAAAAAAGAGTACATTTGGCTGCTAAGTAGCTTAGGAAATGATTCATGAAAAAAAAAAAAAGACTCACCAAGGCTGGTGCCATCCTGCCCCATGATGCACTTCATGGAGGTGATGACCTGCTCCACTACAGGTGGTGACAGGGATGTGGCATACACGGCACTGTGAGAATGTGAACGCAGGTAGTCTATCAGCTCCTGAGGAGTCATAGAGGAAGGTGATTAGACACAATTCTTCAATTTACTGGCAAGGTCAGTGCCTTCCTTCCAGGCTAGGTCCTCCCTTCCATAGCTGGAACAGGGACACTAATCTGAGATGCAAAGTCAACCAAAATGGTCAATGCCTACAACTGGGTCAGAAACTTGGCTGTTTTGTTTGTTAAACTAACATTAAAGCATCTCGCTATATTTGTAGAACACATTATTTAATGCCACAAATTAATGTACAAAGCTGAATTAACAGTGTTGGATTGCTTTTTCAAATACAATGATTTATTTCTGAGTATTACAGAAAATGTCATCAGCATCTCACATCATGCCTGCAAAATCCATCATGAGACCCATAAAAAATAATACAGTTTTCTTAAGCTGGGGGTGTCTATTGCTAGCTATGTTCAAGGCCCTGAATCCATATCACCAAATAAAATAAAAATCCTGTCTGTCAATTACAATTTTGGAAACAACTGATTGCATATCCCTATTCTATAGTGTCTTTTAACATCACTTAAATCATTAAGTAAAATGTGCACACTGGAAGCTTATGTATTACCAGGCATGGCTGTACACAACTATAATCCCAGATTTGGGAGGTTGAAGCTAGAGGATCACCAGTTGAGGTCAGCTAGACTACCTAGTGAAACCCTGTCTGAAAAATCAAAATGAAGCTTATGTACCAAAACCAAATAAAGAGACACAAAATATGGCTATAAAATACACACAAAATATAGCTACAAAATAGTCTATTACTTCTAAAATACTAAAAATTGTACTAAAAACCCCAGACACAAATTTTTTTTTCATTTTTCTTTTATTATTCATATGTGCATACAAGGATTGGTTCATTTCTCCCCACTGCCCCCACCCCCTCCCTTACCACCCACTCCGCCCTCCTCCCCCCCCCCCCCCCGCAATACCCAGCAGAAACTATTTTGCCCTTATTTCTAATTTTGTTGTAGAGAGAGTATAAGCAATAATAGGAAGGAACAAGGGGTTTTGCTGGTTGAGATAAGGATAGCTATACAGGGCATTGACTCACATTGATTTCCTGTGCGTGGGTGTTACCTTCTAGGTTAATTCTTTTTGATCTAACCTTTTCTCTAGTACCTGTTTCCCTTTTCCTATTGGCCTCAGTTGCTTTAAGGTATCTGCTTTAGTTTCTCTGCGTTAAGGGCAACAAATGCTAGCTAGTTTTTTAGGTGCCAGACACAAATTTTATACCTAAATGATCTCCCAGAAAATGACCTTCCTATCCTTTTACTCATAGCAGCAAATATTACCAAATTCAGTTGCCTTTCCAAAGTGAGCCTAGTTTCATTAACAAAAAAGATAAAAATTGGGACTAAAATCTATCAAACCTGATTAAAACCACTGAAAATGGTTTTCTCCAAAAGGCAATCAATTATTAAGACAATGACTGTTCTTTAAGACTCCCAAGGTTGACTTTTAAGGAGGAATTTAGAGCATTTACAAACATCTACTATGTGCCACTTACAAATACTTGACTTTCAAAAAAATTTTTATAATGTTGCAGTGAGATTTTTACACACACACACATAATGATGAGGATCAAATCCAGGGTATGATACTATGCTAGGCACGCATTCCACCACTGAGCTAAATCCCTAGCCCAAGGTTTTGTACAAAACAGTTTTATGGAGATATAAAACACATACCATTATATTCATCTTTTTAGAGTGGACAAGTCAATGACTTTTAGCATATTCGGAGTTGTGTAATGTTATTTTAGAAGATTTTCATAACCCTAAAAGGAAACCATTAGCAGTCACTTTCCATTTCCCCCATCTTCTCAGCCCCTGGCAACTACTTTTAGTTTCTATGCTGATTCTGGAAATCACATATGTGACCTTTTGTGACTGACTTCTTTCACTTAACATAATGCTTTCAAAATGCATCTGTGTTGTGGTACAGATACATATTATTTTTTAAGCCCTTACTACAATACTACAAGTTAGATATCTATATTTTACTGACAAGAAAACTAAAAGGTTAAATGCTTTCCCCTGAAGTATCACAAGGCAGGTAGAGAAATATTCAAACACAGGCCTCTGTGTTCACCATGTCTCCCATGCCACATTAATTCTTAGCTGCCTCAGAGTTCACTATATAATTTACAACTGAAAAATACAATGCTTTAGGATACCCTAGAGCTAGCACAATCTTTTCTCTTCCCGTTTCTACATTTATTCACAACATGTGTGAGCCCAAGGGAGAGAAACTGTCTTTTATTCCCATTGGCTCCATGATAACCCTATTAACTTTTGAAATTGTCAGCGCAACTCAAACCCTACAGAAGACTGTGGCAAACAGAAAACGCCACTGTGTATTCTTCACAAAAGAGGGTATTCTATATTTCAGACGAGAATGTAGTTTAGAAAGAAGCCCAAATAAGAAAACAAACAACAATGAACAGAACCAGCCTTTAGCCCAGTGAGGGAACATCAGAGTCACTCCCCCCAGGCAGCTAAAGCAGGAAGCCCACTGGCACTAGGAGCTTGAGCCACAAACAAAGATCTCTGTATGCAGTTGGCAGGGCCCATCTGCTAGACTGTTACCAAGTCCCCCAGTCTCTTTTCACCTCTAATTGCCCATTTGGTGGCCAGTTTACCTTCTTGCCTCCAATGTATCCTCCAGATGCACCGAAGCTCTTGGTGAAAGTTCCCATCATCACATCTACATCCTCAGGATCCAGGCCAAAGTAGTCTACCACGCCTCTACCTGAAGGGCCAAGGGCCCCAATGCTGTGAGCCTCATCAAGATACAAGTATGCCTTGTATTTCTTCTTGAGGGCAATCACTTCAGGAAGGCGGACAATAGATCCCTCCATGCTGGCAAAACAGGTCAAAAAAAAACCCTGAGACTTTTTAATTCTCAAAATTAGCAATTGGCCATTTTATTATTATTAATATATTATTGCTTTTCAAATTGTCTGACAACTCCTTCTGTGGTTTTAGACTAACAAAGTTAGATAATGCCATGGCTATGCAGAAGTCCAGGGGAAAGGAGATTGGATCTTTTAAGACATGTGGCACAATATAACTGATCTTATTTCACAACAGAAAAAATTAAGGTCACAGCAGATTCCTCTAAAGCTTGTAAATTATAGGCAACATTAGACTTTGTATCACATTATACATGTAATTAAAATTGCACATAAGAATAAAAATATTAGGGAGTAAAACAGTATGTTTTAAGGATGACAAAAGTTAATCAAGGGAAAGTATTTCTTAAAATTAAAATGTAATTTTTTTTTGAGCTGGATTTTGCCACGTAGTCTTGGCTGGCCTCTAATTTGGGATCCTCCTGCTTCAACCTCTCAAGGTTTGGGATTATGAGAGTGCACCACCACACCCAGCTTTGTAATTTGTCTTACCATATTAGAATCCACATTCTTGCTGGGCGCTGGTGGCTCATGCCTATAATCCTAGCTACTCAGGAGGCAGAGATCAGTAGGATCACAATTTGAAGCCAGTCCAGGCTGAGTAAGACCCTATCTCGAAAACACCCAAAACAAAAAACAGTGCTGGTTGGTGGAGTGGTTTAAGTGGTAGAGCTCCTGCTTAACAAGCATGAGACCCTGGGTTTAAACCCCAGTACCACCAAAAAAAAAGAGGTTCCATATTCTTGTGCAAGTTCCCTCTACAGACAGTATAAAAACAAACAACCCAAATAGAAGCGGAGGGGGGTGACTGTTTAGTATACAGACAAAAAACCTATTGTGTTTCAGTGCCAAATCTACTTTGGGTATTTTAACAAGTCATAAACACTGTCTCCTTAGTTTCCAAAGAGGGCTAGTCTAGTATTCCCTTCAGCTTAAAATTTCTATGACTTCTTGAGCCCAAATCACAAAGATAAAAATAATAAAGAATTACCTATATATTCCTTCCACAAGAATTAGAATTTTCTTCCAGGGCCTTCTTGTCCGAGGCTGACCATAAACAATGGCATCTTTCAATAGCTTCTCTAGGCTTTGCATATCTACAGCGCACAATGAAGAATCGAGTTACAAAAGTATCTTCCTCTTTCCTAACTTTATTCCCAAAATGGAAATATACATTTCCTATTCAAGGAAGTATCTCAGATAGCAAAAAGACATTAACATAATTAGAGATGAGCAGAAAAAATAAGGCAAAATGGGTGAATTATTACCACTATCAGTTGAAATCTAAATGTGACAAATGTTCAAAACTATCAATATGATTAAATGGCAGTGGCAGCTGATAGCTTCAGTTGGTAGCTTATGAAATGATCACTGATTTGTGTTAAATACCTTGCCATTTGGTTAGCTTTTTTGTGTTTTTAGAATTAAACTTTATCTCTAGTCCCAGTGAATCTTTCAGAAACAAATAAAGACTGAAAAAGAATGTGAGTAAGCCATCACAAATGTATGTGCCTCCTAAAAAACAAATATGAGAAGAACAAACCTCAAAATGCATGCTCTATTTCCTTCCCTGGGATGTGCTTGTTAATTAGCCTTCCCTTGGTAATGTGTTAAAAGTACAGTCTGGAGCACGTGTGAGTCTGTGTTAAGCAATTTTGGTAATCAGTTAAAGACTGTTCCCTGTTTGACTTCATCAGCTGTGCATACATAAGTTCCTGGGGCTCTGCTAGTCCTTAAGGTGGTCAACAGGCCTCAGAAACAACTTGATTGGTTTTACCACTAATGAGAAGCATACTTTTACCACTAATGAGGAGCATGTCTTTTCTAAAGACAAATGCTTGGAAGACCACTGCTCTTACTGCTGGAGACTTCATATTTAAAATACTTGGTCTGAAATGAAGCTCTTAAAAATCTCTCAAAAATCTAAGCACCATTAAGTCTCATGAGTATTTAATACCTCATCATAAAATTTGATTTTGAAATTTTTATTGTTCATCATTCAAAGGGGGAGTCACAAAATTACATTATTTTGTCCTTTTCATAGTAGGACTTTGATCAGGAGCAATAAGGTAATAAAAATGCATTAACACAAACATAAATAAGGTAGCTAAAGGTTGCAATTGTGTTACACCTTCCATTATTTGCAACAAAACAATCTGCACACTGCCTGACAGGAGACAGGAGTAGCTTCTCACAGCAGTAAACCTGCCCTAATCCAAGCCTCCAATTTGCTGCAGACAACAGTGTGTGGCAATCAGCAGGAGACAAGTAAAACTATACTTATTATTTTAGTTTCCTATGTTTGTATACTGAAAGGAGGCAAAAAGAAACACTGGTTCAAAATTTTAGGAGAAAGGAAATATCTATAAGCAGAATGATATACCAAATTACCTTCTTAGAAAAAAAAATTCAATCTCTCTCATCTTAGTTCCCCAAATTCCTTAAATTTAAAATGTACCACAAAACTCTGAGAAGAAAGCATAAGAGAATAATCCTATGATCTTAGTGTGAGGAAGACATTAAGTAAAATATAAAAATTATAAAAGACAATTAATTTTGACACATAAGCTTTTTTTGTTTTTGTTTTGGTAGGGTGGTTCTGGGGTTTGAACTCTGGAGGCAAGCATTCTATTGCTTGAGCCAGACCTCCAGACATTTTTGCCTTCATTATTTTGGATTTAAAATGACTCATAATAATCTATTTGGCCAGTGTGCAGAGGCGGTCATTGTCATGTTATTTGTGTAATACAACATGGAAAAGTATTAACATTTTTTCACTCTTTCCTAATAGACTAATCAGATGATTATCCAAACATGTGAGTATAGTGCTGTTTCTAGTAGAAAAGTTTAGAAACAACTTAAGGTCCAAACTGAGTGACTGATTAGCTTATGGTACATCTAGACACTGACTGCCACAATGACATTAAGAGACAAGGTAGAGTCATAGGTATTGACAACCTACATTCACAATGTATTGGTTTTTCTATTTTTTTTTTTTAAGTTACAAGCTGGACACTGGTGGCTCACACCTGTAATCCTAGTTATTTGGGAGGCTGAGATAGGGAGGATCACAGTTCCAGACCAGCCCCAGCAACTACTTCAAGAGAACCCAACTCAAAATAACCAGGGAAAAATGGACTGGAGTTGTGACTCAAGTAGTAGAGTGCCTGCTTTGTAAATACAAAGAAAGCCCTGGAGTTAAACCCATCCCACCAAAAAAAAAAAAAAAAGTTACAAAATAAGATGTCAGTTGCATAAACAAAACACTTACATTCTCATTGTAAAACATGTTAGGCAACACAAAGGAAAAAAATAGAAAGTTTTTACCACCCATAGTTCTTCCCTCTGGAGGTACAGACTTTTTAACATTTGGTGTATATTCTTCTAGACTTTTGTCTATACATACACACATTTTGGAAAAAAAGATATTAAACATAGAGTCTGGTGATCTTCTCTCCCTATGTTTGAGTGTTTTGACTATGAAAATTTCTTGTTGTAATATAATAAGTGAATAGTAGGCTGATTTTTATTTTATTAGGTATAGAGCAACTTTTTATATACATACTGTATTTATAGTTACTACTTTATAAATTGGCCATTTTCAAACTGACCTCTTTTTACCACTTATTATAAGAGCCCTTTATGTTAACTGTCCCTTTTCTATATCGTACTTTTTTAAAATTTATTTTTAGTATCACGCTGTGTGATTAAAATGTTTATGTGAGCCAGGTGTCTGTAGTTCACACCTGTAATCCTAGCCTCTTGGGAGGCTGAGATTGGGAGGATCACAGTTTGAGGCCAGCCTGAACCAGAAGAACATCTCAAATGTTCTGCTTTGGCTTCATTTGTACTTTCAGTTACTTATGAAACTACTGTTACTATCACCACCATCCTAAAGAATATTAAAACAATAAGGCCAGTGGTTAATTCTGCAACAAACTTACTGTTGTGCTTGAAGATTCGAATGGTTGCTCCTGACAGTCTGGCTCCTAGGACCAGCGATGCATGGTTCAGTTCATCACTCAGAATCAAGCAACCCTGCAAAATTACAAGCACAAAAAGTAAGATGATGAAAGAAAAAGGTTTGGTTAGGCAAATTTCAAAATGCTATAATCACTAACAGTTATACCTATTAAGGAAATCTTGAACAGCAGCAAAGTGATCAGTTTTAAGAATAATGTTCATGATAATCTTTTTGACAAAGACACCTTAGAAGTAAATGTAAAATCCTAGTCTATTTAATATCTTCAATTCAGATACATAGCAACAGGTCCTCATTTAAACCTAAAATCTAATACCTCCAACATTCTTTGAAAGGTCTGAGTTTAATTTGACAGAATTACATTTGAATTTTGATATAATGCACTGTTTACTTGTGGGAAATGGCAGCTGCGGGGGTAATGCCTATAGAAGTAGTGCATTATCTCTTTCACTACTAACAATATCCAGAGTCCAGTGTGAATCCTACTTATAAAACCCATATCAGTTTTTATTGTTAAGATAACAGCTACATAATTACAATATAGTGTGTAGGTCTCAGTTTTGCCCTTAAAAATCTCTGAAAAAGCTTTAACACATAAACATGGGTTTCTGCTAAGACAAGAAAAGGCTGATACTGTTGGTTATTTTTTTCCCAGTTCTTACTCTTCCATCCCTCAGGGGCCATTCAACCTGTAAGATAGGAACTCAGAAAAACAGGTTTTTCTCTGTCAAAAATGGCCTCCATAGGGCTGGGGGTATAGCTCAGTGTAGAGTGCTTGCTTAGCATGTACAAGGCCCTGGGTTCAACCACTAGTACTACACATGCACACACAAAAATAATAAAGTTTCATATGAAAAATGGCCTCAAAATATCTGATTAGATGAAAAAATAAAGTAAGGTGCAGAAGGTATATAACATGCTCCTATGAGAAGGAAAGGCATACATATCTAACTCTATTTACTATAGAATATTCTTAGGATACTTAAGAAACATAGTCAGTGTTAAATCTTTACTGTAAGCATAGTTTGTATTATTAAGATAACAGCTAATAATTAAAATATACATAAAGGAAAGTATCAGGCATCAATATGAACTCCTGACTTCTTGAAATAAATATATATATACACAGACATATATATGTTAGATATACATAACTGTACACGCACATATTAGTGTGTGTGTATGCAGGAGTCAGTATACATATATCCATTTTATAAGTGTATATACTGAGGCGCAAGAATGAAACTCTGTAGCAATAAACGCACTTGATTCCCAGAACTTGGTTTCTAGTGACTTTTTTTTTTGGTTTCAGGGTCTCTTTATATACCTCTAGGCTGGCCTAGACCTCACTATGTATCACAGGCTGGTCTTGCACTTATGACCCTCCTGCCTTAGGTTCCCAAGTGTTGGGATTTACAGGTGTGTACCACCATGCCTAGAAGAATTGATTTCTAAACACCAATCTCCAATAATAAGAACCAGGGCTGATTGGTGAGCTGGCTTATTTCAGTGCAAGGCAAGGAAAAATACAAGATAAGCCTGGAGCATCTTATGTCAGAAAGCAAGAAAACACTTTAAAAAATAATTTTTTTAAATTACTGGGCGCCAGTAGCTCATGCCTATAATCCTAGCTACTCAGGAGGCAGAGTTCAGGAAGACTGCAGTTTGAAGCCAGCCCAGCCAAAGAGTCTGCGAGACCCTATCTTGAAAAAAGCCATCACAAAATAAGGGCTGGTGGAGTGGCTCAAGGTGTAGGCCAAGTTCAAACCCCAGTACCGCTAAAAAAATAAATAAATAAATTACATTATTACATATTCAAAGGACACAGATGCCTACCTTACTGAACTCTTAATGGACAAAACAGAAACAACTTGAGCAGCAAAAAAAAAAAAAAAAGGAATCACATTGTGATTATTACCCAAATAATGAAATATTCATCAATCTGTATTGATAAAATAAGGGAGAAGCAGTAACTCTTCCTTCCACAAAAATTGCAATGAATAGAAGGAATGAGAGTAAGAAAAATCACTATAAGAATAATAAAGTAATAACTGCCTTAGGCAAGATCCACACATATATACTCAAGTTACGGGGTGAAATTTAATGAGGAATGCTATTTAAAATAAATATTCCTAGGTCTGAAATCTTTGTTTATATTAATATAGTCACTTCAAATTTCTGTGGATTTTTGTTTGTATACTGTATCTCTTTTACTTTTTTCTTTTTTGAGTGCTGGTGATTGGACGTAGGACCTTGTCCATGCTAGGTTAAGTACCCTGCCAATGAAAGCGGCATCCCCAGCAGTTCAGTTAGTTGGCTGGTAGTCTGTTCATTCATTACTCATTTATTTATTTGAGACAGGGTCTCTCTATGTTGCCCAGGTTGGTCTCAAATTCAAGAGGATTCACGAATCCTCTTGCCCCATCCTACCAAGCAGTGAAGATTACAGAAGTATGCCTATGACAGGCTTCATACTTTTACTCTATGTCTTTAAAATAGGTTCTTATTTTATAGTAGGAAACCTACTTAATTTAACCTAAACTGTTAAACTCTGTCTTCTACCTGAATGTATAAACCATTTACATCTAATATAATATTGTTGTATTTTAATCTTGCATCTTACTATTTGCCCCATCTGTCCCTTACAGAACACCATATAGTTTTATAACTGAGTTAAACTAATCCATTTACAAATGACACTTTGAGGACCAGAAAAGTTATCTGACATGCTCATAGTCATACAGCTAAGTTTAACCATATAATCAACAAACAAACAGGCAAAAATTCAAGTCACCTGCTCAAGTTAATTCACTTTTTAAATATCAATGTGGAAATGAAAATAAAAACCCTCATAGGTTCTTTCAAATCGATAGTACCAATGTGCTAAAATGTAATTTACTAAGTGTCTTATTTCTTCCCTCTTCAACTGCTCTTTACAAGCTCTACCCACAGGATGAGTAAATATGGATATATCTGTGTGTACATACTGTACTTACATATAATTTGCCTATAGACTCATGTAACTGTGCCTTTTCTTATTTTTCTACTTAAGAAAAAGCATGCCCCCAGCCCTAGAAAAAAACAGCTATTCAATAACTTTTTGAACGAAACCTTTCTTTCATAATTTTAGTCTTTTAGGAGTTTGTATTTATCAGAATCCCTTCTAAACTGTATATGAAAAGAAGAGGGCAAGAGTCATCTAATGGAAGACGTAAGGATCATGGGTTCTAGCAAGAAAGCTCCAACTGATAATGAGGCTTCATAGGATGTACTTGTCCAAAAAATCTGTGGCAGAAATACCTGTACAAAATGTTTGATCTAAAGTTAACAATAGCCCTTGGCTGGATCTGAATGCTTTTCAAAAGAAGATATGCATGAGGGAGCTGCCATAAACGACACAGTGTCTTACTTTGCCAACAAGAGCAGGAATGTTCATTGAATTTGTAGCAAATCCCATGCCATATGCCATAGCAGCTTCTACTCCCAAGAATCTTGCTACAAGTTTTTCTAGTTCTTCATGCTTGTCCAGGTTTCCTGAGTAGAGAAGTTAATTAACAAAGTCAGTATCACAAAATTCTGAATTTAAGAATTATTCACCACTTTATAAAAAGAAACTGATCCATGCATTGTGGCCTTTTCCAATTTAGTTCTACAGTGAACTCAGCATTATGAAGAGTGGTAGTTTACAAAGAAGGCAAGAATTGATGAATTCAGATTTACCACCTGTGGTGAAAGAGTTTTGTTAAGTTTCATGTTTGCACATGCCAGTTCCAGTTCTAGGCCCTAAGAAGCCTAACAAAATTTGCTTCTACACTTTTAAACTCACCTGTCATGCAAAACAATGTAACTCGACTGTTGAACAGTGAAGAGAGGCAGAGGCAGGTACTGGAGGATAAGAAGAGAGGAGCAGAGGCAGGACCTCAACTAGCCCTTAGTAGTTCTACCCCTGTTGAGGTGCCAGATGTAAGTTAAGCCATCCTGGACACTGTATTCTCAGACATAATGACCCACGTGATACCACATATATCAAGCCTTCCTCAAATTGCAGAATAAAAACAAATATACTTGCGCTTTTTGGTGGGACTGGGATTTGAACTCAGGGCTTCGCACTTACAAAGTAGGCACTCTACCACTTGAGCCACACCTCCAGTCCATTTTGCTCTGGTTATTTTGGAAATGGGGTCTTGAAAACTGGCTGGTCTTAAACCATCCTCCTCCCAATCTCAGCCTCCCAAGTATCTAGGATTACAGGTATGGCTCACTGGCGTCCAGCTCATTTCTGTTGTTTTAAATCACTAAGCTTTGGAATGGTTTGTTATGCAGCAAAAGATAAGCAAAAATTTGAGCACCTTCTCTCACTTTGACTTCAATGATAAATTTGTACTGTGATTTTTCTTTCTTTTTTTTTTTTGGTGGTACTGAGGTTTGAATTCAGAGTTTCCTCCTTGCTAGGCAGATACTCTACCACTTGAGTCACTCCACCAGTCCTTTTTTGTGTTGGGTATTTTCCAGATAGGGTGTTGTGAACTATTTGCTCAGGTTGACCTAGAACCTCAATCCTCCTGATCTCTACCTCCTGAGTAGTAGGATTACAGGCGTGAGCCACGGACACCTGGTTATACAGTGATTTTTACATTGGTATTCAAATGCTTAAGGAGTGAACAAATTTGGAGAGAGAAAAGATACTGAGAAAGATGCTGAACTTGAGTGCTGTGCCCTTAAGGCTTTATCAAGTCACTTACAACGTCTCGTTTCTTATCTGTTCAATACCAACAATACTTTGCACTACCTACCTCATGACACTGCTTTAAGGATCAAGAGAGAATATGTTCAAGCACTTAAATTTTAAAAATTTAGACTGCAGGTAGAGTGCCTGCTTTACAAGTGTGAGGCCCTGAGTTCAAACCCCAGTACCTCCACCTCCAAAAACAGTAATTTCAAAAAGGGGAGAGGAAGGGGGCAGGGGGGAAGAGATGGCCCAAACAATGTATGCACATATGAATAAATGAATAAATAACCCCCCCAAAAAAAAGATTTAAAAGTGCCATAAAGATAGAAGGAATGCTTACTCTATGTGATCACTGTATAACACTCCCTTAACTGTATCATTAGGTCTAACAGCCTATGAGTTCTCAAGCATCAGCTAGAAACTGTTTTAAAGACAGGCCATTGAAATGTTATACTCCCATTTTCCTGTTGAAAGGCATCACAAAACAAGCAAGAGAACAAGAAATAAAAACCTAAAACTCTTATTTTAAATTAATTAGTAAATAACTATAATCCTCAACACAATTAATGACAACAGAAAATATAAAGAGAGCATTATGGGGTGAATTATGTTCCACTAAAAAGATATTTTGAGGGGCTGGGAAAGCATTTGCTTAGCACATTCAAGGCTTGAGATTCAATTTCCAGCACCCAAACAACAGTAGCAACAGCAACAAAAATAGATAAAAGTCCTAAAATCCTGTACTTCAAAAGTGACCTTTGGAAACAGGATCTTGACAGAGGTAATCAATATAAAATAAGATCAGTAGATAGTATTAATGTCTTTATAAAAAGGGGAAATTTGAACACAGAAATATACATGTGCAGAGGAGACACAGAAGACAATGTGTGACACACAAAAAGACAGCTATATGACCACAAGGAATACTAAGGATTGCTGACAAACATAGTAAGGAAGGAAGGATTCTCCTCTAGGGCTGTCAGACTAAGCACTACCCTACTGGCCCTTAACTCCATACTTCTAGGCTCCAGAACTACTGGAGTATAAACTGTTGTTTGAAGTCACCCAGCTTCTCATCCTTTGTTATGGTAGCCCTAGGGAACCTAATACAGATGGTCGATGACTTAGGAGTTAGAAGGTCTTATCTATGGCCTTACAAAATAGACAATGATTCAATGAAAATAAAGCAAATTCATTGTATCAAACGCTGAAGAAGTTTAAAAGCTAGAGGCAATAGGAATCAAAGTAAACAGGTGGGCTACAAACAAAATGCTTGAAAGAAGATGCAAAAAACATAAAGCTGAGTGTGATGGTGTACACCTGTACTCCCAGCACTCAGTAGGCTAAAAAGACACAAGTTGCCAGCTTGGGCTGCGTAATGAGACCCTGTCTCTAAAAACCAAATAAAAAACAAAAGACAAAAAACACAACTCTTTCTGCTGGTTGGATTGTAAAATGGTGCAGCAGCATTTCCTCAAAAAGTTAACCATATGGCCTAGCAATTCCACACTTAAGTATATACCCAAGAGAAAGGAAAACATATGTCATACAAAAACTTGTACAGTCTTAGCCAAAAAGTATAAACAACTCAAATGTTCATCAAGAGATAAACAGATAAAGAAGATGTGGTCTACTCATACAACAGATTATTATTCAGTCATAAAATGGAATGAAATACTGATGTACACTATGAAGTACTAACGTGTGCTACAACATGGATGAATTTTATAAACATGCCAAATGAAAGAAGCCAAACACTAAAGCCCACAATATTATATCCATTTAAATGAAATATCCCAAACAGGCAAATACATAAAGACACAAAGTAGACTACTGGTTGTCAGCGACTTGAGTGACTGCTCATGGATAAAGGATTTCTTTCAGGGAAATAAAAATGTTCTAAAATTAGACCATGGTGATGAATAAAGTAAAGTATACAACTTAAATGGACAAATTATATGGCATATTAGTAGTAGCTTCACAAAATTATTAGAAGAGAAATAAAAAGTAACACAGGCTCTATCCCATTTCTACCTCTATCCAAACAACCAAGAAGTTTTGCCTTCTCTCATTAAAATATATTATTCTGAACTTGGGGACATCAGATATAAAAGTGTATATATAAGTGCCTTGCTGAAAATGGTGACGAAGAGAAAATTTTCCTAGATAGAATGTGCATACTAAGTTTCTCAGAAAAAGAAAAATGAAAAGAAGACAGGGAGAAAAGAAAATCAGAGGATAAACGAGGGGCTTATAGTGGTGTTTCTGAAAGTGAGAGCTGAGAAATGCTTAAGAAGAAAGTATCACAGAATCAAAGGATGTAATTCTTCAATTTGTAAAGATCCACCAAGCACCAAAACAGCACAATTAGTGGAGGGAAAAAAAAAAAAAAAAGACTCATACCAAGGCACAATGGAATTCATGTTGCACTCAAGGGAAAGATGTCTTAAAAGCTTCCAGAGGACTGGGATGTAGCTCAGTGGTACAGCGCTTGCCTAGCATGAACGAGGCCCTGAGTTTGATCCCAGCACCAAAAAAAGAAAAGACAAAAAAAAAAAGCTTCCAGAATGACTATGCAAAAAAGAGAAAAGCAATGGTTGCACTCATTACTGCAAGAAGGGGAACTGTGAGCCTGGACCATGTGAGTAGGAAGCAGATTTTTCATTATGTACCTTTTATTACTTTTAGGATCATTATGTTTATGTATTTTTAGGTATGTTTATATATTATCTACTCCTAGTACAGGTTTTCTAAACAATAAAACCTTTTGGATAGAAGGTATGAGAGAAGGAATGACATGCACAAAAATGGAAATCAGAACAGCATTATCCTTCTGACCAGCTCCTCTGGAGCAAGAAAGCAACTCATACTTCTCGGTGAAAATATGTTCAACCCAGAATTTGGTAGCACCAGAATTATTAAAGAATTTAGTATATCAAAGACATCTTCCAATATTCAAATTCCAAAAAAAATTATCTTTCCTGCATTCCCAGGAAAGTACTGGAGAATGTGCTCTACCAGTATGAGGGAGTATATCAACGAAGAAGAAGATATGTCATACAGGAAGGAATCCAAATTAGAGACAAGGAAAGGAAATTCCTACGCTGACCCCTCCCTACCACCCAAAAGACCCCAAGAACCAGAATGCACAGTATAGCAATCCTGGAAAGCAACCAGTCCAAACTGAAGCAGGAGGCAGTATAGAACTGCACTAAGAAAATATTTAACGGCATCCAGTAGAGTATATAAAAAAGAATAGGGTTTTCAAGGTTCTTCCTCCTAAAAGTTGTCTGATAGTCTTTAAGCATTTAAGATGGGGCAAAGATCCAACCTGCTTTTTAAGCATGAAGCCCTGAGTTCTAAAACCCCAGACCCACAAAGAAAAAAAAAAAAGATGAAGCCAAAGTTAAAACTTACTTTTAATTTTTAGAGTAAGTAAAATACAAGTCGCACTGCTTCTTACACTCAGATACCACAATAGACTATCTAAGGATCCTTACGATAACTTAAAATGTGTTTGAAAGAAACAGGGCAGAGAACCTATAAAAATATAGGAAAAAGCCTAAACAAAATTCAATATATTCTCTCTTAAGAGTTCACTTTTAGCTGGGCGCTGGTGGTTCCGGACTATAATCCTAGCTACTCAGGAAGCAGAGATCAGGAGGATCTTGGTTCAAAGCAAGCCTAGGGAAAGAGTTCGTGAGACCCTATCTGAAAGATATTCAAAACAATAGGGCTGGTAGAGAGCTCAAGAGGTAGAGCACCTGTGTAGCAAGTATGAGGCCCTTCGTTCAAAAAACACTAGCAACAAAAATGAAGTATTGAAGATCAGCGGCTTGTACATATGGTTTGAGTTCAAATAATACAGGATATGAAAAATTGTACAATTCTGTTTTTACTTTTTCATTTCACTTTAAATTTAATGAGTTGGCAAAGTTGCTATGTTAGATTAAATTAGATGCAAATCCTTTTTTATTCTTTGCATTGAAAGGTAGAATCTAATTACCACAGCCCTTCAACCTGGGCTGGTCTTAATGACTGGATTTGACCAATAGAAAGAGCATTAAGTGATACTCTGGAAATGCAAGTCTAGGACATAAAAAGTCTTCCAGCTTTCATTCAGGTATCCTTGCATGCTTACTCTGGGGAAAGCCTGCTGAGACCATTGAGCCCACTATTCTGTGAAGAAGTCCAAAGTAGTGACACAGAGAACCAACACAGAGTTCCATCCATTGCAGCCCAGATGAAACACATGAAAGAAAACTTTTAGAGGTTCAACTATACAGGCACCATTGACTACAACCCTGTGAGGGACTCTGCATGAACCACCCAACAGCACTTGCCAGTCCCTAGTCCTGTGAGATAATGAATAGTTGATTTAACATAATGAATCTGATGGCTCATCAGTTCTCTAAGAGAGAATGGAAGAATTTGAGATCCTTTGAATTAAAATAAACATCTTCATACAACAACTGTTAGTCTTTTACATTTTACAGACTTCTAACAATACAAAGGGTTTACATTTATTGAGTACGTTTATTTTATTCTCAAAACATCTGTAAGGCAGGAATTATTAGTCCCAATTTACTAATATGAAAACAGATTAACCCCCATAGTACCAATGTGCTAATAAGTGGCACTTCTAACCATAATTTGCAAAAGTCAATAAAGCCAACATTAAAGTTATAAATGAAACAAATATGGAACTTTTCTAGGGACATTATGTTATATGTAAAATATTGCGAAACATATCTTAAAATGTGTTGCAAGCATTAAAATCACCCACCACTTCAGAAAAAGAAAGCATTTTCACCTGATGTAAGGTACATGGCATGACAAAGTGGGTAGTTAATACTCTAGCACTGTAGCAGTATTTCTCACTTTTTTGGGGGAGGCGCAATACTGGAGTTTGAACTCAGGGCTTCCCACTTGCTAGGCAGGCACTCTACCCCTAGAGCCAAGCTCTAGCCCTAATATTACTCACTCTTGAGTTTAAAAATCCAAATTAAAGGTTGGGGACATAGCTCAGTGGTACAGCACTTGCCTAGCATGCGCAAGACCCTAAGCGCCACAAAAAAAAAAAAAAAAAAAAAAAAAGTCAAAAGTACCTGCAGTGAGCTTTTTCTCTCACTCCTGGTTATTACTGAACCTAACTATGCAGAAAGGACACAGGATAGACAGACAGAAAATTGGGTCCAGGTGTGTTGGGCGCTCAGGTGGAGATGCACAACCCTCATTGCTTCTTTTCTCTATCATTCTCTTCATTTACTCTGTTGCTATCTTTATTCCTTAAGGCCTTACTCCTTTACAGTTCTTTAAAATCTTGCTTCACTATTCTTTAAAACCTCTTTCCTTAGACTCGATCTGTCCCATGTTTTCTCTTAACTGTTCTTTAACATAATCTCTTTTAAAGTCTTTGCCCCCAGACTTGCACTGTCCCACGTTCACTTTTTAGCTTTCTTAAAGCCTTGGACTCGGACTTGCTAGCAATTCCCCCTTAGCAATTCTCCTTTAGCAATTCTTCGGCAAATTCTTTTCCCTTCAGCAATCCTCCCTTCAATTCATTTTCTCCCTTGCAATTCATTCGCTCTTCAGCAATCCTTTTACCTTCAGAAATTCTTTTCCTTTCCAAAGCCTCCCTTCATCCAAAAGCAAAAAGCAAAAGCCTCAGCCTTCTTCAAGGAGTTTTTTATACCTAGTGATAATCAGGGAGGTGGAGCGCTCAGGGAGGGGTGTGACATTGTAACAATAGAAAGTTATAGTCTACCTCTCAGATCTACCTCTCTGACCTTAAACAACTTAGGAAAAGCAGAGGGGGGTGACATTGTAACAATAGAAACCTATAGTCTACCTCTCAGATCTACCTCTCTGACCTTAAACAACTTAGGAAAAGCAGAGGGGGGTGACATTGTAACAATAGAAACCTGCAGTCTACCTCTCTGATCTATACCTCTCTGAACTAAATTTAGGAAAAGCAGCTGTTTTATATTTTATTCTTGCCTCATTCTATGGTGGGGCTGTGCCGAACTCAGCCTACAGAACACTAGGTACAGCTGTGCTAATAACCTCACAGGTTTCTCATAATCCTCTCTCCACAAGTAGCAGTTAGCCAAACACAGTTTACACTTACCAATTTCCTGCCGAGTGCTACACACTCCAGCTCCATATTTCTCTAGGACTTTGGCAGCTGCTTCTTGACATGATCCACTGTTCCGTGCAAATCCAAGATAGTTGTAGGAACCCATGTTTATAACACCTTTAATTATATTTCCTGTGTACCTGTGTTTAACAGCATAAAGCTTAATGAAATTCAAAAGCAAATCTAATGCTTAGGTGTGATATACATTGGCAACACAAAGAAGCACTATGTACAAGAAATAGAACAACTCAGGAAGTGGAAGGTACAATAAAATACCAATTCTCATTTATTAATAGTGATAAAGATTTTAAAACTATTGCTAGCTAGTGTTGGCCAGGACAGACTCATAAACTAGATAAGAATATCAGTCATCATTCTTGTTCTCTCTAGAGGTGACCTGCTTTCAGTCTATTGAAGGTATATTCCTTTCCTAACAAACTTGATTATCACTTTCACTTTAAAAAAAGAATACTGGCAACACAGCCCACCTTACTCATGGATTTATTACATGCAGTTTTGATCAAGCATAATCGAAAAATACTATTTTTTTAAAATCAAAAGAAATTTTAAGATTGAAAATTTTTAATTCCTGTCAGACCTTACAAAGCTCAACTGATACCCAGAGGCTCTCAGTCAGTCTACATTATAGGTCACTTGGGTTTAAATTAAGTGCAATCTTTTGTTTCCCTGCCCTTTATTTTGTGAAAATGTGCCTCCCAAAAAAACAAATGGTGCTCAAAAAGCAAGCAAGGTAGGGCTGGAAGCTTGGCTCAAGCAGTAGAGCATCTGCCTAGCTAGGGTGAAGCCCTGAGTTCAAACCTCAGTACCACCACCAAAAAAAAAAAAAAAGAGAGAGAAAGATAAAAGTTAAAGTGAACGTGCTTAATTTAAGTGATAAAGTGAATGTTTTAGATTTCTCGAAAGGCAACATGTCTTTAGCGGAAGTTGGGCCAGTGTTATAGGAAAAATGAATCAAACACTGCAGAAGAATGCTGAACTCTGTACGTCTAAAGAATTCATAGGTCTTCCTCAATGGTAATCTGCTTTGAACCACAGACCCCTGGATGCCAAGGGTCTCCTATACCTTCTTTTGGAGGTGATTTGGCAGTACTTATCCACTGAAAGACAATAAATATCCTGACTTGGCAATTGCTACATGTGAGCACATACACATGAGGATCCTTTATGAGCCACTGCACAATTTGCCTTGGCTGTTGCCTAGGCCGAGGGACCAGTAACATTCCATATGGCGGAAGCTGAGTCAGTCTGCCTGGGCTCCTGAGTAAGGAAGAACATCATGACTCAGATAGTTGGTGGTTCCCATTAACCTAAGGTGGACAAAAAATAAACTGCCATTGCTTTAATTCCCTGGAATTTGGGGCTTATTAACACAGGACTCAGGTGGTACATCTATACTGTAGAATACTATGTAACCACTACAAACAACGAACTTACTGTGAATATGCACATGAGAATGGTATTACCACTAAGCCAGCAAACTGTAAAATAATTTATATAATATGATCCCATTTTAGTCTATTAAAAAAACAAAAACTACCTTTGTGTAACCCCAGAAAATACCCTATATTTACACATACTCCCCCAGAAAACACCTAGGAGAATAATACAAAAATAAAATCACACAACAGTCACTTCTGGAGAGTGAAGAAAGATTTGTGGGGTTGGATTCGCAGGACAAGGCTTAGTTGTCATTGAAGACTTTCAGGTTATCTGTATAATTTGCTTTTTTTTTTAATGGCAAAGAAATCATGTAATAATTATTCAATCTAAACAAAAAATGTTAAGAATATAAACTTTTTGAGTTTTCTGCAGTACTAGGGATTAAAGCCAGGGCTTGGCTCATGCTAGGCAAGGACTCTATCACTTGAGCCATGCACCAGCTCTTTTTGTTTGCATTTTGTGTTTAAGATAGGGTCTCATTAACTTAGCTTAGACTGGTCTTGAATTTGAGAGCCTCCTGCCCCTGCCTCTCAAGTAGCTGAAATTTCAGGCATGTGCTACCATGTCTGCCCAAGAATAAAAACAGCTTTTAAAACTAGTCAATCTATTTAAGTAAAATCACTCTGTTTACTCAAACATTAGAAAAATCAAAATATTCAACAATAAGTTCAGATACTATACCCAATTCTAGCAAGTGGCATGATAGAAAGGATTGTTTTTCCTTTCTGAAAAAATAAATCAAACTTTATTATCAGCTATAATCCAATACAGGATCAAATGTAACTGAAAAACGTATTTTAAAAATATAAATAGGGCTGGACATGGTGGCTCATCCCTGTAATCCAAGCTATGCGAAAGGCAGAGATGGGACGATTTGGGCAAAAATGTGAGACCCTATCTGAAAAATAAACTAAGGCAAAAAAAAAAAAAAGGGGGGGGATGGGGGCATGTCCCTGAGTTCGAACTCCAGTACTGGGGGGAAAAAAAAAATCAGTATGCGCCGTGGATATAGTTTAGTGGGAAAATACTTGCCTACCATGCAAGAGGCCCTAAGTTTAATCTTAAACCCTAAACAAACAAACAAACAAACCCAATAACAATGAACAATATAAAAGGAAACTAATCATAATGCATTGTGATTAGCAGCTACTATTCCTGTTTTGAGAGAATAAAACAAGAGAATACTCATTTGCAGTATCTTCTCAAATAAAGGAATACTTCTGTTGTTGTCATGAAATAATTTCCCAAACATGACTCACTTGAATGACCAGTTATAGTCATGAGACTGTCTCTCCATGATGTCTACCCTGGCTCCAGGCACACTACAGATCGGTCGATTCCAGTTGTCTCTTATCCTCATGTAGAGGTTCCTTGTATAGAAGTTTTCAAAGTCCTGATACAATGACACAAAGTCCTGCCAAAAAATGTTGAAATATTTTAAATTTAACTGAATTAGTTTAAAAAACAAATTTTATAACCTCCCTTTTTCATACTGCAGAGCACTTGAAGATGAAAGGTAAATTATCTTTAGTCAACTAATATATTAAGAAACCTTTTGGCGAGACATCAATTCTCTGTTTGTTTTAACACAACTCTTGTTAATCAAGGAAAAGTCACTTAATAGCTGACCTATATTACATGGTTTCAAGTAACTTATTCCATGATGAATGTAGAACCAATGAATTTAATAGAGTTGTCCTCATAAAAAAAAAATCTAGTTATATAATTTTGTCCCTTCCTAACAATCTCAAAAAGACTTTTTCCACCTCTGTACCCCTTCCAATAATATATTGGGGGAAATGCCATAAAATTCATTATAATTCCAGTTTCAAACAAGAAAATACTTCTAAAATTAAGACTCTACCTTCTGCATATTTTCAAGGATCAAAATAAAACAAATACAAAGAAGAAATGACAAGAGTAAGTTATAGGAAGTCATCAACCTTGAGTCTTTTCCTCTTGAATAGGAATTATGAAAAGAAAATACATTCTGAAAATGAAGGGATGACATTAAACTAAAATTTAAGTCTGTAAAAAAATCAAGTGGCATTGGTGAATGCATAATATTATGCCCAATATCCTATAACCCCCATGCTCAGAACACATGTGACCACCAGATCACATGAGATCCACTCAACCCTCAACTCTCAAAGTCAAAGAGTAAACCAATGGGCACAGGAGGCAGAGATCAGTAGGATAGTTGTTAGAGGCCCTCCTGGACAAAAAGTTAATGAGATCCCCATCTCAACCAATAAATAGCTGGGCACAGTAGTATGTACCTGTCATCCCAGCTACAGGGAAGCAAACAGCAGTATTACAGTCCAGGCTGGCTGGGCATAAATATGAGACCCAATTCAAAAACAACTAAAGCAAAAAGGGCAAGGGGCATAGCTCAAGTAGTAGAGTGCCTGCCAAGTAAGTATAAACCTGAGTTAAACCCTCAACACCACCAAAAACAAAAACAAAAACAAAAACAAAACATAATTAGTTTACTACTGTCAGCACATCACTAAACTTACCGCTCTCAGATCTGGACTTGGTGCCAATCTAAATGAATCTGTTAAACAAGCTCTAATAACAAATATTTTAAAAGCTTTAGCCTCATTCTGTAAAAAATGTTCATTGCTAAAAAAGACTACGTAAAATTCTAAAATCAACAACCTTCTATGAACAAGTAGGGTTCTAAGGTGCCTACTAAGTAAGCCTCAGACTAGCTAAAATGTCCTTAAATAGAGCTGAGCAGAGTCAGAAAGTATACTGAGAATCTGCATTTAGTACCTGTATCATCTCTCATAGTTAGTTCTAACATTACCTTTCCTTAGGAAAGAAAGTATCCACTGGAAATTTATCACTTAAATAACTTGTCCCTGTTTTGTGTTTTTTTTTTTTTTTTTTTGGTGGTACGGGTTTGAACTCACACTTGCTAGGCAGGCGCTCTACCCACTTGAGCCACTCCACCAGCCCTGTTTTGAGTTTGGCGTTTTCAAGATAGGGTCTTTCTTGTGAACTATTTGCCCAGAGCTAGCTTTAAACCATGACCCTCCTGATCTCTGCCTCCTGAGTAGCTAGGATTATAGGCATAAGCCACCAGCAACCTGACTTGTCACTTTTGATAGTCTCTTTCAACTAGTTGAGAAGATAAGAACAAAGACATCCAAATTGTAATTAAAGATTTTTTTGTCTATTATTCACCATGCATTTATTTCCCAAAGGAAAAAGCAAGAAAGTAGTCCCAACCCATTTCAACTCATATCAAATAGAATAACAGTACTAACTCTTCTATGAAACCATAATATTGATAATCTCATTTCTTTATAATGAAAGGATAGTTTCACTCAGTCATTTTCTAAACAGTGAACATTGATGTTCAAGATATGAACTCAGATACTTGAAAGAACTATTTCCTCATGGACAAATTCTTATTCATAACAAAGAAATATAGACAGACAGACAGAAAGATAGATAGACAGACCAATCCAGTATCACACTATGGAATATGTCTGTCATTGTGTGGATATTAGCTAATTTCCCCAGTTGTCTATGTGCTCAGTGGCACATCACCTGGCTATAAAGTTTCTGCCTTTAAGCAGAGAATTATTTGTCATCAGATGAGCTAAAACTCAAACCGCTAGCTTTAGGATAATCATTGTCCAAAGGAATCTCTGCTTCAGGGTCCTCTTGGCCCACAGATTAATTATATACTTGGTGCTGCCATGTCAGGTCCAACAGTCATTTCAGGCCTCAGTTTCCCCAGCATCCTAGAATTCCTGCCTTATGGGTCACTACTTTGTCTCTGAGTATACCAACCAAATTAAGTTTCTGTCCATGCTCTCCAATCATGTCTGCTCTTCTCCTATCCCCTACCCTAAACCTCAACCTTAGCCAACTGTGAAGATTGTGAACCCAAACCTGTCTGACAGGGTAAGGGACAGACTTGCATGAATTTCTGCTCAGTGTGTGCTGGGTTGCCTAACTTAGGGTGGAGGCCCACACCCTTCTGCAGAAGTAAATTTTGCCTTGCCCATCAACTTTTAAGCATCAGTCTGATTTGTGATCATGGGAACATCACAGTATTTCTAACACTCGAAGGGTTCTCAAACCCCAAGACAGAGAAGTGGCTGCAGGCCAGAATAAAGCAGAGCTTCATGTTTCAGGTTTGGTTAGGAGGGACGGAATGGTTTCCAACCTCCTAAACAGAAAACTGTTACTCCATGGTCAAGGATCACCATCTCCTTACACCTACAATGAGAAGAAAACTAAGTCCCTGAGATGAGACAACACTAGTACAGAGTAAACGAGAATAAACTGCTGCAGAAAGTAATATTAGAAACTAAAAGCAGGTAGGACAGAATGGTAGAAGAGACTCAAGCCAAAATTTTAGTTTTCCTTTTACTCACTAGCTCAGTGAGGTTTGGTAAAGAGAGCTGAGGGGAAGCTAACCAAACTCTCTACAGCTTAGCAATGAAGGAAAAGGACAAGAGAGAAGTCACTATCGGGGATTCCAGTTCTAAGCAATGCGAGTATCTATGTCTAAAAACATCTTGTACCCACCCTTTAAATATTCTAGGACTACACTAAAATAGGAGACTTATTTTTTCATTCATTCATCCAAATATTTTTTAGTGACTACTTGATATATATTGAATTCTTTGCCAGACCTTCAGGATATATTCAAGAACAAAGTGTTTCTCTGTGCAAACACCCTGATCATTCTAACCCTACTCCCCCATAAGCCTCCCACCCCTTTCCTCCTCTGAGCTTAGTCATTATGAAACAATTTTAGTCAGTACGAACCATAGTCAGTCACAATGCTCAGTCACTAGACAAACATTTACAAAGCAGTTCCTTCCAGGCATGAAGCTGGTGTAAGGGATAAAATGAAATTTTATCCTACTCCTTAGGATCTCTTAGTGTAGTAGAGAGGCACATAAATGCACACAATATAATACGTACTATAAAGGGATGCTTGCCAAGGGGCAGAGAATACTTAACTGGTAGGTGAGTAGCAATGATAGAATTGAATTCAAGTAGCCTTAAGAATGTACTCTTCATGGACAGTCTTCTTTTTTTTTTTTAATGTTTTATTACTCATATGTGCATACAAGGCTTGGGTCATTTCTCCCCCTGCCCCCACCCCCTCCCTTACCACCCACTCCGCCCCTTCCCTCTCCCGCCCACCCCCTCAATACCCGGCAGAAACTATTTTGCCCTTATCTCTAATTTTGTTGAAGAGAGAGTATAAGCAATAATAGGAAGGAACAAGAGTTTTTGCTGGTTGAGATAAGGATAGCTATACAGGGAGTTGACTCACATTAATTTCCTGTGTATGTGTGTTACCTTCTAGGTTAATTCTTTTTTATCTAACCTTTTCTCTAGTTCCTGGTCCCCTTTTCCTATTAGCCTCAGTTGTTTTTTTTTTTTTTAATTTTCATTTTTCTTTTATTATTCATATGTGCATACAAGGCTTGGTTCATTTCTCCCCCCTGCCCCCACCCCCTCCCTTACCACCCACTCCGCCCCCTCCCTCTCCCCCCATCTCAATACCCAGCAGAAACTATTTTGCCCTTATTTCTAATTTTGTTGTAGAGAGAGTATAAGCAATAATAGGAAGGAACAAGGGTTTTTGCTGGTTGAGATAAGGATAGCTATACAGGGCATTGACTCACATTGATTTCCTGTGCATGGGTGTTACCTTCTAGGTTAATTCTTTTTGATCTAACCTTTTCTCTAGTACCTGTTCCCCTTTTCCTATTGGCCTCAGTTGCTTTAAGGTATCTGCTTTAGTTTCTCTGCGTTAAGGGCAACAAATGCTAGCTAATTTTTTAGGTGTCTTACCTATCCTCACCCCTCCCTTGTGTGCTCTCGCTTTTATCATGTGCTCAAAGTCCAATCCCATTGTTGTGTTTGCCCTTGATCTAATGTCCATATATGAGGGAGAACATACGATTTGTGGTCTTTTGGGCCAGGCTAACCTCACTCAGAATGATGTTCTCCAATCTCATCCATTTACCAGAGAATGATAACATTTCGTTCTTCTTCATGGCTGCATAAAATTCCATTGTGTATAGATATCACATTTTCTTAAATGGATAGTCTTCTTGAAGCCCTTCACAAAGCACAAATATGTAGAGAAAAACAGTATCTACTTGAGCCGGGCACTGGTGGCTCATGATAATCCTAGCTACTAGGAGACAGAGATCAGGAGGATAGTGGTTTGAAGCCAGCCTGGACAAATAGTTTGTTGAGACCTTGTCTCGAAAAGACTCATTACAAAAAAGGGCTGGTGGAGTGGCTCAATGTGTAGGCCCTGAGTTCAAACACCAGTACCACAAGAAAAGGAAAAACAATAGCTACTTGAGACTACATGCTAGATTGTTGGTTCTGAAGTACTCATCAATTAAGCAATTTCTTTAC